CAGAGGCTATTGGCCGCTGTCAGAATACCCGAACAGGGCTGGCAACTCATTGACTGCCAGCCCTATTCATTTGAAGATTTTCCAACCGGCTCCTTCGATCAGCTGATTATATTGCACAGCATATTGCCACCTTAACAGTGGCAGCTCTCTGCTGGGAGAAGAGACAAAGAGCTAACTGCCTTTAGCTAGCAATGTGTCATACGTTGTAAGTCCACCAAATGTATTTAATTAGGTACATTCTAATTTTGGATTGCTCCTTAAGACAGAACTCAGTGCAAGTAATACAATGACTTTACAAATCTGTTTTATTTAGAGATCATAAATTAAATTTTTGAATAATCCTTTATAACCTAAATGTATTTTAACCGCCCCACAATCTCTATGCACACCTGATATCAGACTAAAAGTGGAAGTGCTGTCACTGTGAGTCCGTCGGGTACTAATGTGTTTTACAGTGCTTTCAGTCCAATGTGTTTCGAGCTATTGTCGGGATCCGCTTCAGCGGCGGCGTCTCAGTATACCGCGAGCAGCAGCTTACGCTATACTGTGGCGTCTCAGTATACCGCGAGCTATAGCTCGCGGTATACTGAGCTTAGGGTGATGGGAGGATGCTAGTTTGTGTCCTCCCGTTACCCTAAGGATAACTATGGGGAAAAGCCCTAACCCCATAGTTCTCCTTTAACCATCTATTCCTGCACATTTATTCGGCCAGCGAGGCAGCCCATCGTAGTGGTGGGCAATAAGAATGTGAGGTTTGAGGAACCGAGCTGGCTTCAATACAATTAAAAATGGTCCTCCATTAGGAATTAACAATGGAGACTTGGAGGTTGTTGCCCTTTTACACATGACACTGATTACCTTTCACTTTATGAGCACAGTTGCTGTGGTTCTTCCATGAAGGTATCTTACTAAGAACAAAAGCTAATGAGATCTGCATATTTCTTTGATCACATCACTATGCCATTGTTTTTTTTTGTTTGTTTTCTTGTACTCTTGGACTATAATCATCTTGTTAGAAATGAGCATAATAAATATGAGTGATCAGTACTCACTACTCAGAGATTTTCTAAGTTGTGCAAAGTCGGTGTGACAATGAGAAAGCCCAGTGTTCTGAAGGGTTGTTTATTGGTGTCTAAGGAATCCCAACATGACCTTATTATCACAAACCGTTCTAAAATTGGGCAGCTAAAAAAGTTGCATGACTGTTCGAAGTCTGAAAGTAAAGCTGTGAGCAATATCACCTTATTTTGGGTATCAGATAGTCACTTGGTATAATGTTAATTTGACAGGTAAAAGTTCTGTCAGACAGCTCTTTGCCTTCTTCCCTGAAGGCAGGGGTGCTGGCAGTTTTATGTGAACATCATATCATATCATATCTCACATGTCTCCTTTCTGTTAGATGCAATAAACATTGTTTAGCGGTTGATTGAGGTATAGCACTTAATTTTGCTCTTCAGCTGTTTTTTCTCATACAGCTTTACCCTTGTATTCCACCCATGATGTTGTTTTCTTTGCTCTGGTTCGTTGTAAATGAGATATTTAAGAGGAACTCCAGCCAAATTCAAATCTTGTATCTGCACAGAAATCTGAGAAAGGGTGGCTGCCCAGTGGAACTTATTTATATTTCTCTGCATGTACAAACAAAATGTCCTCCCGCACTCCAGTCACAACAGCTGAAGTAAACTTTATTGTTCCGGGCATAAGACACAGAAGGTCTTCCCAGACTTCCCTTACCCTGACACGTTTTATCCAAACAGAACTTAGTAGAAGTACCTCTATGACAAAGCCATGTTTGTGTTAAAAACTGTCAGAGTGGAGAACATGTTAGGTGGACCTTCTGTAGTTTGTGACTGAAATAATGTTTACTTCAGCTGATGCCGTTAGAGTACTTCCAGACTTTAAGCTTGTAAATTATGGGAACATGGTTTATTGGAACAGGAATAAACACACTGCTTTACTTTGAAAATTGTGTTTTTGCTCTTGTTTCTTTCCACATTAGAGAAATTAGTCACCACTGCCTCCACCCCCACTAGGTAAGAAAGTTGATAAAGCAAAAGCTATAAAAATCTGACCCTATCTTAGTTTTTACAAAACCAAAAGAAAAGTTTCACCTGGAGTTATGAGTTAATAAATAGGGTTGCTGTCAACCATTCACTTAGTTTTGGTCAGTCTAAATATTAATGGTGGAGGGTAGCACAGTGTGGGGAAATGGTACATGTAAGGATTTTTTTTTTTTTATGTACTTAAAATAAACAGTGTTATAATTTTCTGTTTATTCTCGCATGCTTCCAATTTTTATATGACCTAAAATGAAAAGCAAACTTTGAAGTAAAAAAAATTATGAGAAAAAAAGAGAAACAAGAGGTATTGCTATATAGTACTCTAATCGAATGTTATTGCCTAGATGTGATGACTATAAAAACGGGAAAAAAAGTATTTTCCTTTTAATAAAAGTATACTGTATATGCACAGTTTTATATAGGCCAATCTTCTGTAGGAAATTGTTCACTAAAGAAATTGTCTGTGAGAAAGATTGATTGAAATGGAAAAGCAATTCTATTTCTGCTTTAGAATTTCAGAAGATACAAGGCCAAGTAAGAGACATAATAGCCACAGTTTCCCCATTCAAGCTATAAGTGAAAATACAAATATTTTGTTTATCTTGTTTAATTTGGCTGAATGATACAGCTATTGAAAGTACCAGTATATGAGGTCAGGTGACAAGATCCATCGCACAGTGTATAAACTGTAATAGGCAGGAAGTTGATCAAATTATTTTCCTGTGCTTGTTCTGTCATCATTTAACACAAATGTTGGGACAGGTTTATAAAACTAGAGGAAAGGAATGAGTCTGGGAAGCCCATTAAGACCAGTCTCATTCCAGCTATCCATTTCAAAGTTTTAACTCTTCACTAAAATATAGACAGCAATAACAGTCCTGTTATCTCAAGGAGAGCATTTTGAGGTAGGATTAAATTCAATAATGGGGTCATCTGATGTGTTGTGACTTAAATGTAAACTATACTGGTGTGGCTCACTTTTTTTTTTTAGTTTATAACTTTTTAACTGATATTTTTACAATCTCTACTTAAAAATAAAAGGGTAATTTAGCTTATATGAAAATAAGAGGATAACATGTGGGATATAACAATTGGTCATCAAAGATATCCAGTAATAGGAGGAGTGGAGAGGGGTAATTACAAAATCCGCTAGTTAGTAAAGTGAACACTATTGCATTAAGGCTGGCTTCAGACCTGGGCATATTTTTTCAGCTCGTTTTTTCGCACATTTTTTTCTGTTTAGTGAAACGCGCGTTTTACTGGCTGTATGATTTTTTTTGTTTTATCCTTATTTTCTCTATTTAAAAAATGTTTTTTTTCACTTTCAAACTTCCTGCCGGCTCTGCTCCCCTGCAACACGGCCTCTCGCAAGGGGCAGAACCCGGAAGTCGGCAGCCGCCGGAGGACACAGCGGGGATCGCGGACAAGGTAAGACCTGTACACTGTATTTCCGAGTGTGGCTCAAGGTTACAGCTTTGTTAACCCCGATCCACACTCCGTAATACCAATGGAAATGCGCGGAAAAACGCCCCAAAGAAGCTCCTGTACTTCTTTGGGCGTAGGGCGTTTTTTCAGCGCATTCCTACGCGCTAAAATATACGCCCAGGTGGGAACCATGCCCATAGGAAAGTATGGGATTTCACCTGCTGGGCGTTTTACAGCGCGTCGATCAGCGCTGTAAAACGCCCAGGTGTGAACCGGGCCTTATATGCTTAAGACTGTCAGGCCAGTACTCGGATTTAGGGTCTGGTTTGGAATGTTAGGGGGGACCCCTCTTTTTTGGGGGGTGCATGAGGGTCCCTCTTAAAATTCTCACCGGAACTAAAGTGGCTGGTATGAATTTGTAGGGGAACCCCACACATTTTTTTTTACATCGGGGGGTCCCCCCTTGTATTCCGAACAGGTCTAAAGGGTCTGGTATGAATTGGGAGGGGACTCCACCCTTTTTTTTGTTCTTTTTTCTTTTTACACTGACATTTTCATTCTGTGTTACCTCTGAGGTAGCGAACAAAATGGAGGAACTAAATGCTGCTCTGCTACATTTGGCTATTCATTATCTGCTGTTCGGCCCCTTTGGGAATAAGGGTGAACAGCAGAGAATAAATCCTTTGGCCTTTTAGTGAATTACCCTCTATATGTTTCTAGGCTGTTTAAGACAAATGGATTGGGCTAGACGTCTGCTTCATTTGTTTTCATGTTCGCATGGGGTTCTAAGGAAGCAAACTATGTTGTTTTTTTTTGGTTTTTTTTGTATGATTGGTCTAGTAGGCTCTGTAATTACACCACCTTAAGAAGAGGAGCTTGATACATAGAGGCCTCCTGTTTGCATCAATTCAAGGGACTGGATTTCTGCAAACGAGGAGATATGTTGGTGTATTTTTATTTTTTTATTTTTAGGTGAGAGTCATGGGCAATTAGCCCCGTTAGAAAATTGATGAAGACTTTAGATACATTTTCTGTCTCAGATCATACTATTGTCCAGTTGCCAGAATTTTAATGTGTGTTCCTTTTGTTTTCTGATGATTTGCACCCATGTTTTGTTTAAAAACAAAAAAAGACTTTTCACACAACATACAGTATGTGAGCGTTTTTAGCTCATCAGAGGCAATGTTGTTTGCCATCAGATTATTCTGCTATCATTAGGTAAAGAGATCTTCAAACGGAATGCGGTATAAACTGTGTACCTTTTCGCAGATCACTTAACAAGCAATTCTATTTACAAAACAGGCTTAATTATTAATCATGTGCTTGTTTTACATTAAGCAGCTTGAATCCATTACCTTTCCTTGGCCATTTAGTAGAAAAAGACAGTTTGTTTCTGGAGAGCCAAAACTTAGTGACAGCAGAAAGCTTAGACTAATGGTTTTATTTTTAACTTGCACAGGAATACTGCAGCTGTATTTATTTTAGTTCTGAACTATTTTACCTTTTGTCTTTCAGAAAAAACAGCGGACAAAAGAGCTGTCCCAACTTTTCCATTCATACAATCCATATGACCATAAGGTAAGACACTGCTCATTACTGGCTTTTGATATCTGTAGTTTTCTTTAAGGAGTGCTGGCAATTGTATATTTTCCTTACATCATCTCTGATCTTGTTTTTTTGTTACCTTTTTCTTTTTCAATCCATACCGTTTTTCTTTAATTTCTGTGTAATTGAAAGGATCTTGGTTTCTGAAGCATTAAGGGACTTTAAAAGCAATATATCTATCTTGTTATGCTTCTTCGGCATAGTGGTAGATTGGTAGTTTGAGTATGAGATGTCATAGATTATGGTTGCAGAAAGACCTGCGTTCCACTCTATAGTTTAAGAACTTTGTAGTAGGGTCACATCAGTTATATGTAATACGAGTATTTAACAAAGTTGAGTAAAGAAAAAATATCCAGGTTCAGGTGACTTATAGCTTTGGAACATATATTGCCATATGGAGAAGCTCAAGAGGGTCATAGTCAACCAGGTTTGGTTCTAAGCTCACCAATAACAATAATAAATGGGCCTCCTGTGTACCACGTCTCATCTGTTAGTATAGCCTTATTTAGTCAATATATTTATCACAGTTGGTAGTTTTGGAATGCTTTTTTGTTTTGTTGTTTTTTTTTTGTTTGGAAACAATATGGTTTTTCAAACTGGAATTTGATTTTGATTGGAATATGCCACACAAAAAAAAGACAGAGTATGTATGTAAATGGTGTCAATAAATGTCTTATAAAAGTCCATGAGGTTTTTATTTATCCGTCTTTGCCTTGCACAGAAGTTGTTAACATAAAAATAAGGCATGCTTGTACCAGTGAGCATGTGAACTCTCCACCGATAGAGTGAACCGATAGAGTGCAAGGAATTTTCATGAATATTGTTTGAGAATGTAATGAAGATTGACAAGTGTACCTAAATGTTTTGCTCCACTATTATAGAAGACTTTGAAATGGGTAATTGGTCATGTCTTTGGGCTACTGTTTTTTCTCTGAATTTGTGTGCATTGCAAGTCCTTTTTCCTACCTCAGGGAAACTATTATTTCTATATTAGAACGTTTATTAGATTGTGGTCATTCACTTCTACTGCAGACTCCTCCATTCATATCCTTTGTGGCATTATATCAAAGTGTCCTCAAATGATTTTGGCTTTACTTGTGAAGACTTACACACTCCTTTACAAATTAGTCATTAGGCAATGTGGAATAGAATGTGACTGTAGATCTTTGCCTTTTGATGTTTGTTCTAGAGCTTTTTAATAAATTATTATAAGTTATCTGGCTTCTGAGGGACTTTTACAGCTGCCAAGAAGTATTCTCCTACTCTGTTTTAATGTGCTCATAATGTTTTCCCATGAACACTTGCAGGTGAGCTCCCAAATGTGGCTGAAAGGTTAATTGTCTTTTCTTTTTTGTCTGTAGTATTTGCTTGAGTATGATTTTAAAAGCAATAATTATTAAAAGCTCACATAATTTCATCTGCCAAATTAAAGCAATTGTGCATATTTAGGGCATGAAATTGAAAAACTGCAGTAAGTTAATTCTACTGGAAACCGTTCAAGTTCTAGCTCTGGAAAAATGTATGCAGTGCCTATCAGTAGACCTTAGTTTCCCTTCTTGTAAGTCATAGAAAGCCCTAAATATTGTACATATTCAATACCTACAGTAGCACAGTATGTTATCATACCTCTCTGTACAATATGAATTTGAAGTGAATATATTTCTTAGATAAATCATGTAAACTAGAAGATGGGAGCAAGGCATTATTCTTAACACTGTGTTTCTCATTTAAGGCATCCTGCTCTAACAACTTCCTATTCTTTGTCTTATCACTTTTGTGTGTTCCTTAAGTTTAATGAAAATATGTATCCATATTAGTCCAAGGGGAATCATCTTTTACATAGACTGCAGTCAGTGCCAGAGACAGAAGAATAATTATATGTGATTTGTTAGATTAAAGGACTGATGGATAGTTGCCACTATTCCTGTCAAATCTGTGTTCACCTATTTAGCTTAGAGTTCTTTAAAAGCATGTTCCACTTTTCAGGACCATGCTTCATGTTACTCCCATGTATACCCTATACCAAACAAAAAATTGTCACATTCCCCGACCTCCCACTCTCAAAGTGCCCCCACTTACCTTAATTGCAGGGGGCTTCCCCTTGCAACATTCTGTTTTCATTTTATTTTGATGGAGCCCTCGGGGGCCTGTCATTCATTCACAGCCACCGCGACAGAAGGGCTCGTAGATCTCAAAGTACAAGTGTTGTGATATCATTGCACTTGTAGTCCACTGTTTGCTTCCTCCAGCCCATAAAGGTAGTTCCTTACCTCTGTACAGACCTATGGTTAGGATAAAAGTTTTCAGGAGCCTGTACATTGCACCTACCTGAATCTACCATGCATATCTTGAAAAGTTTAATTCAAACTTTGAGGCATTGTGTATAAATACCATTCCAATGAAAATTTCCCACAAAGTGGAATATGTAATGGCGTTTTTATTGTAACATTGACCATAAGTCGGCAAGGTCCTTGTAAGAGGGAAGCAGGTGAAACTAACATGCTACTATAGAACATTTGGTGTGTTACAACAAGGAATAAAAAACAGCGGTGTTATAACAACTTAATGGCCTTTTAACACTCTTTGCTGCCAAAAAGTCTATTGTGTACTTCTCATAGCACCTTTGTTTGTTACTGTAAGGTGGGCGTTGGACTTCCATGGCCCTAGCTAACTCATCCTAGCTTGGGCCAGAATGTGTAATCTGCACATGAGTGTGCAAGCAAGGGGATTATATGGAATCTGGAGTACAAGACTGATGAAAATGTATTAGATAGCAGACTATTAGTCTCACAAAGATGCTTTAGTCAATGAGACATTATCATTGAAAAAATACATAAGTAAAATATATGCATGTTAAGATGGCGCTATATCTGTGGAATATGCATACTTTTAACATATTCCATGCTCCACCTTGGGAAGGTGGGGTTTTGTTACAGTTAATATGTTTAAAAGTATCATCATCCATTTAGGTATAAAACATAATTTACATGGTTTAGCATGCTTGGGTGAAATGGCTAATGTCCCCAAATGAAAATGCATACAAATATAAGTTGTATGGATAAGGATAAGCAGTTAAACTACAACATTTTCGTAGTATGCTATTTGGAAGTATATACATTCAATGCTGCACCAGAGTAACTTTATTTGAAGCTAGGATATTTGTACCTAAGAAGCAGGAAATGTCATGTTTTCAGCCAACATCATCTGTGCATCTGTTAAAACAAATTTTATGAATCTGCCTGCAGTTCTCTTTTCAAACATAGGCATTGTCAGTGAAACATTGCATCATCTTTGTATAAAATGGCTATCAATAATTATTCTGTTATGGTAATAACACTATTGATGTATTCATGTTGTCTGCAAAGCTTTTTGAAAATAACTATATGAGCATATGCTTATTAGATTAGGAAACAAAAATGAATAATTTGTTTTAATTACTTGGAAATAGAACTACTCACAGAATTCTTCGACATACTGGGAAGGCACTATTATGCTGTTAGACATTATTAGAAAATTTGTATGTAGAGTGGAAGGCTTCTTTTATATCGGAGTGATGTTTTCTTAAGACGTTTAGTGGACTTCTTAACTATAAACACAGTTGTTTGGGAAATCTAGTGCATGTTTTCCCTGTTTTAGCATTGAAGTATTTCTAGCCCCCTCAATGTACATATAGTTATATCACTTCCCCCTTCATTTGCTTTCCTTACTGCTCCCTTTCTGGTATAATTACTCCAATAATTAGCTTTTAGCAGGTTTGGGCTTCTTTTTTTGACTGCTGATGGTATTTCAGTGGTCATATGTTGGTTAGGGAACAGCTGGGAGCTAAGATTAGTAGAGAAACCTACAGGGACAAAATTCTGTACTCCATATATAATAATTTTGTAGAAAATGATTCAAAAGCCAACAAAGCTAAGGGCAATCTTAAAAATATATTGTCAGTAGGAAGACCATCTTTACCAACATAACTTAAACATGTCTGCATAGCATGAGCACCCGAGAACAGAATAAAATTGTCTTGCATAACTTTGGCCCCATTCACACCTGTATGTTTAGGTGCAATTAGGGCTCCTGTGTCAGGAACTTGCATTTTCCTGCAGCAGGAATCCCTAATCTGCTGTTTACAGACATGATCAATGCGTCCAGGTAGAGTGATGTGATTACATGTGGTTAGAAATCAATTTGCGTATTGCTGTGTGTCGGCATTTAAATGCAGCGACTGTCAGCCGTTCATTAACTTGAACGGGTGACAGCGACAACTGCTGCTTGTAAACAGCAGATTAGGCAAACCTGCTGCAGGAAAACACAAGTTCCCGACACAGGAATCCCTAATCAAACATAGATATACAGGTGTGAATGGGGCCTAAACAGCATTAAAGAGGTGCTTGTGTTTTCTATATGTCCTTGCAGTGAACTGCGTTGATCTGGTGCAGTACACTGCAGGTCACTGCTAGATGTGTGAATGGGCCCTAAAAAACATAATCTCTCCTCATGCCTGAGACCAGGGGATCGATGGATCAGGGGACCGGCATGCCTCTTTTCATCCCTGGGGCCCTGACCAGTGGAGCAATTGGACTAAGCTACAATCATTTGCAGGTTTGTGCTATCTGAATGCAGCTGGGATCATTCGATTAAGGCACAAACATCTTCTAGTACACTGCAAATGCCATGCTGTATGATCCCTATTCCATACTGCCTCATTCTACAGTCTATGCTGTGCTGTATGTTCCCTATTCCACACCATATCATTCTATAAGCCATGCGGTTAACAGTAGCCCCACTGCAAGGATTAACTTTTCAAAATCCTGGAGTTCTTCTTTAATGGAGGATTAAAACAAATACCAAGTAAGTGGCAATAACAGCTGCTCAGTCAGTGCGTACTATTTGCTGGCAAAACAGCCTTTGTTTATTTCTCTATCTGTATTTATTTATGATATGGTATATGGTAGAACCCCCTTCGATTTTAAATTATGTCT